TTTCGGGGGCCAACAAACCGATGCCCAACACCGATTCCCACCGCCAACTCGAACTGCATTAGCTCTGACGTCCGTTCTTGTTGCTAGTGGGTGGGACACTAGCCGAACGAGGCGCCAAGGGAGGGTGTGAGCTAACGCAGGGCCTAGCAAGGGCAAAAACCAGGCCTTTTAAAACCGACCGAAAAATCCTTCAGGGACCTTACCCCCCCTATATATGCTTAAAAAACATAACCCCAAGTTACAGCAGTAGATACGATTTTGCTGTAGAGTCACACTCACCACACAGGCCCCAAATTCAAACACCAAGCCAATTCCTCGTCACAGCCCGTAACCAAACATCATTCGTAGATCATAATGATATGCAAAACACACTAACAAACATTTGGGGCGACGAAAAAGCAATAGCCAAAACGGCAAAAGCAATGGTTCTCCGAAAGCCCACACTTCAAAAACCACATGTAAAAAACAAAATTCATGCCACCCACAATTTTATTTCCGGCTACAAAAGATATATGAACTATTTTTAATGGCTTTTTGCTTTGCAAACGCCGAAAAAACAAACGGAAAAGGGCAAGAACCAAGCCTTTTTTTTAGCCGACCGAAAAAACCTTCACTGACCATGCCCCCCCGCTACATGATGCAACGATAGCCGGCATTCCCCGAGCGAGCATGTGAAAACATGATCATGCCCCCCGATGTCACAAGGGTGCGCATGAGGTAACACACGGCCTAGCAAGGGCAAAAACCAGGCCTTTAAAAACCGGCCAAAAAAACCTTCACGGAACATACCCCCCCTACATATGCTTAAAAAACATAAACCCAAGTTACAGCAGCTGATACGATTTTGCTGTAGAGTCACACTCACCAAACGGGCCCCAAACTCAAACACGAAGCCAAATCTTCGTCACGGCCCATAACGAAACATCATTCTTGGATCATACAAATTTGCAAAACACACTAGCAAACTTTTGGGGAAGTAGCCCCTTGGGGTGTCCAATTTTTGGGCATAACTTATGCTAGGAGTGTCCGTTTTCAGCGTGCGACCACTTTCCGGAAAGGACTCAACGAGACGCACAGGGGGCCGATCGGGCGGAGCCCATCGGACTTCAGTTATCACCTCAAATTCGCTCGTTTAGGCCGCCATTTTGCAGTTTTATTGTTTCCGGGCCTATGGCCTGCTTTTTGTTCAGCCCATTCACTCCTCATTCCTAGGCCGGCTTGTGGGGTTCTTTCATCCGCACTTTACTTTTCATATTATATCATAACCCTAGCGTGGAGTTTTCCCCTAGCTATTATTCTCTTTCCCTCTTATTCGTTGTTCTCTTCGTTCTGTCCGTACACCTGGATTCTATTCGGCGTCATCTGGTATCAGAGCTCAGTTCGACGAAAAGGAAGATCATCCTTCATCATCAATGGTGCGGGCACGAGTTAGCGGCCTCAGGCAACCTATGGGTGACGAACACTCCCCCCCGCCCCCCGGCGAGAGAGGCGCCATGACAACGTGGAGGTGATTAAGTGCTAACTTTGTGGCGGACCGGGACGTAGGGTGACGGAATGCAAAAAGCCCGTCCTACAGAAGAAAACGAGTGTGTTCGTGGAGGAAGACATCGTTTATAATGATGACGAAGTTGAAGAGTCAAGAGATACGTCTTGAAGAGTCAAGAGATCCAGTCTACGATGATTATGCTAAAGAAGTCGTTCTTTATGTGGACGGTTTAAAGAAATTTGGCTAACCGAAATCCAACCTTCCGAGAGTCGACTCAGAGAGGACGAAATAGCCAACCATCCCCGTTCGAAATGCCGGCGTCCCAACAACCGGCATTTCGAAGGCCAACAAAACCGCTGCCAACCGTTCCACCCACTTAGAGCCACCATAAAAACCAACTGCACTAGCCCCCGACGCCTGGTCCATCCACCTGGGTGGGTGTAATGGAAGAACCAAACGCCAGAAGGGAAGGAGCTAGAGCAGGGCCGACACACCTAACATCGGCACACCGAGCAAAATTAAAGAAATTTGGCTAACCGAAATCCAACCTTCCGAGAGTCGACTCAGCGAGGACGAAATAGCCAACCATCCCCGTTCGAAATGCCGGCATCCCAACAACCGGCATTTCGAAGGCCAACCAAACCGCTGCCAACCGTCCCACTCACTTAAAGCCACCATAAAACCGACTGCACCAGCCCCCGACGCCTGGTCCATCCACCTGGGTGGGTGTAATGGAAGAACCAAACGCCGGAAGGGAAGGAGCTAGAGCAGGGCCGACACACCTAACACCGGCACACCGAAAACCGACCTCGGAGTGTCAGCCCCACAAGGACATCCCAATCATCCTCGCTTGAAATGCCGGCATCCCAACAACCAGCATTTC